CCCTCAGTAAGTACGCAGTTGATACAATGGTGCATCATGCTTATTAAACAATGATAACAACTTCCTTTGTATTCTGATCTATTGTCTATGGTAAGCATACAATGCATATTCAGTGGAAGACCTAAAGTATAAATAGGTCCTGCAAACCTATTATATCATTCAATACCCTGTTAGACTCCGTCATAGTCACATCATTGTGACTTTGTAATTTTTTAACGGACTGTAGCTACAGTCCTAAAATCATTTTTTTAAAAGTTATTTATGAATCCACTGATTTAAAATAGATTTATCCGTACATTTGACCTTGAAACTGAGAAAAACACAGCAAACGGATGGCGTACCTATCGGTTGCATTAGCCATGCGCCACGGGATTGTAAATACTTCAACTTAGGTATACTATAACTATCTAAAACTGTAGTGACTCATCGATGTTCACGTGAACATCACTTAACTACCAGTAGTCGGCTGTTCATAGGCGGGGTATGAATGTTTAACATGGGTGAACTAGATTTGTCACATGCTTAATAAAGAGTGGTTTGAAACATATTGTAAGTCAAAAATTTGGGAATTACCTTTATTCATCGTCACTTCCACTTACATCTGACAGTAATAAACTGTCGCTATCGCTTTCCTCGTTGAAATTGACTATAACTGGCTCTATCATGGTGTCGATGTGGTGGTCAAGCTGCCACATTTTTGTTTCTTCCTTCACAACATGACGGATAGCATTCTGCCATGTACAGCCTTGAGGGCTGGTATCTCATTCCTAAAGAAGAATGAATGTACGGTTCGCCTTAACGCCATTTTGCTATCGTCATCCAATTTAACGGCCTTTCATCCCTTCAAATTAAACTTTGGATCAGTAGTAGCTCCAGTTTTCTTCTTTTCATGCACCACCCTGCGAATGGTCCACTCTGGAACGCCTGTCATACTTTCACAACGCGCAAGTGCATCTCCCTGCGACATAGTTCTGTTCAGATAATTGAACACGTTGAGCACGAATTCTTTCGCGTCCCTCTTCAGTGCTTTACGAAGCCGTCTACTTGTTCCCTGGCTTTCAGTACTTCCACTCGTGCCATTTGTACTCTCCATGGTTAAGTATAACCAAAACAGTAACCACAGAAACCACAACAATAACAATCACACAACAATTCTTATAAAAACACACAATATGCGATCGCTCAACGAAACACGTTCCAATGCGTTGCCGACGCCTATGAGTCTGCCGGTCGAGGCACGTCTTTGATTTCATTGGTTCTACCGGCGGAGAACAATCAGCCATTATTTCCATCTCTGTCTGTGCTGTTGACCACCGCAAAGCCACAGAAACGACATATGTCGTACGCTATACGGCTGTACTGGAAGGAAGCCGGGATCGAGCTCTGATCACGTGTTGATCACTCGTATGAGTCATTACAGTTTTAAATAGTTGTAGTATAGTGCATCCGAGGGCCTTATAAAAGCCAATAGCAAATGGCGCGGTGACGCTTTATGTACATACGAGGTGGGCGCGTTATTATCTATAGATCCGGGCTTGTGCTTGGAGTGTAATTTAATGAGGTTACTTGATTTCGTGGGATAAGATTATATAGTATCGTATAACATAAGTGCGTACCAGCTATCAAATGTTGTTGATCAACAGCTTGACATCAGAGCGACAAAGCAATGATGCTACCGCGTATGAACACGATTATTGCTGCAATCTGAGGTTTTTTCTTCAGGAAAATCCCAAATATTGCACTAAAGGTTCTGACAGAACCTACGAATTTTTTATGCCATTCCACTACATGGAAAATTGTACTAGAAGTTGGTTCGAAGGCGTGAGAAGCATAGAGGCAATATAATTGACGCTGTTTTTATTTGTATAATAAAAAAACACACACTATACTACGATCCCGGCTTCCTTCCAGTACAGCCGTATAGCGTACGACATATATCGGTTCTGTGGCTTTGCGGTGGTCAACAGCACAGACAGAGATGGAAATAATGGCTGATTGTTCTCCGCCGGTAGAACCAATGAAATCAAAGACGCGCCTCGACCGGCAGACTCATAGGCGTCGGCAACGCATTGGAACGTGTTTCGTTGAGCGATCGCATATTGTGTGTTTTTATAAGAATTGTTATGTGATTGTTATTGTTGTGGTTTCTGTGGTTACTGTTTTGGTTATACTTAACCATGGAGAGTACAAATGGCACGAGTGGAAGTACTGAAAGCCAGGGAACAAGTAGACGGCTTCGTAAAGCACTGAAGAGGGACGCGAAAGAAATCGTGCTCAACGTGTTCAGTTATCTGAACAGAACTATGTCGCAAGGAGATGCACTCGCGCGTTGTGAAAGTATGACAGGCGTTTCAGAGTGGACCATTCGCAGGGTGGTGCATGAAAAGAAGAAAACTGGAGCTACTACTGATCCAAAGTTTAATTTGAAGGGACGAAAGGCCGTTAAATTGGATGACGATAGCAAAATGGCGTTAAGGCGAACCGTACATTCATTCTTCTTTAGGAATGAGATACCAGCCCTCAAGGCTGTACATGCAGCGATCAAGGAAAATGAAATTATACCCCAAATGAGCGTCGAGGTAATGAGGAAATCCCTGCACGAAATTAATTTTCGTTACGAAACGCATAATCGGAAGTCAGTGTTGATAGAGAGACCTGAAATAGTCGCCTGGCGTCGAAAATACCTACGCAAAATGATTGAATATAGGCGACAAAGCAGAAAAATCTATTATTTGGACGAGACATGGGTAAATGCAGGTCACACAGTTAAAAAAACCTGGATAGACAAAAACGTAGTGAGTAACCGACAAGCAAGCATTGAAGTTTTGTCAACAGGTCTTCGTGGACCGTCAGGGAAAGGTCAAAGATTGATCGTAACTCATATTGGTAGCGATAGTGGCTTTTTAGAAGAGTGTGACTTGATTTTCGTCTTTAAGAAAGGAGGTGATTACCATGACGAAATAAATGCCAGCTGCTTCGAGAGCTGGTTTCAAGGGGTGCTTCAGCGAGTTGAGTCCAACTCTGTGATCGTCATGGATAATGCTTCCTACCATAGTCGTCGAGCCGAACGTGTACCGACTATGGGATCTCGAAAAAGTGACATGCAGCAATGGTTGCGCGAAAAAGGAATCCCGTTTGACGATTCATGTGTGAAAGCGGAATTGTATGGAAAAATTAAACAGCACAAACCTGCGAACATTAGTTACGTGACTGATGAGATGGCCCGTCAATGTGGTGTCACTGTGCTGCGGTTACCGCCCTACCACTGTGAACTGAACCCAATAGAGCTCATCTGGGCTCAAGTGAAGGGTTATATTGCGCGCCATAACACAACCTTCAAATTACCAGACGTTAAGGTTTTACTTGAGACTTCCATACCGCTAGTAACGCCCGAAGCTTGGCAGAATGCTATCCGTCATGTTGTGAAGGAAGAAACAAAAATGTGGCAGCTTGACCACCACATCGACACCATCATAGAGCCAGTTATAGTCAATTTCAACGAGGAAAGCGATAGCGACAGTTTATTACTGTCAGATGTAAGTGGAAGCGACGATGAATACAGGTAATTCCCAAATTTTTGACTTACAATATGTTTCAAACCACTCTTTATTAAGCATGTGACAAATCTAGTTCACCCATGTTAAACATTCATACCCCGCCTATGAACAGCCGACTACTGGTAGTTAAGTGATGTTCACGTGAACATCGATGAGTCATGACAGTTTTAGATAGTTATAGTATAAGATGGAATTTTTAGATATTTTTGCGTGCTGAATCTGTTCCTTAATTTTTCCTGACAACGTTTTGACCATCCTGTAACCAAGATGGTGGACGCACTTGTGAGGGTGGGATCAAAGAGCAGAAAAACGCATTTGTCGGTAGAAAATCTTTATTCAAGTTTATTCTTTTTTATTTTATCTCTATCCTGCTCCTATTTTATCTGTATCTTATATGTATTTGTTGTCTTTAACTTATCTTTATCTTAATGTAACATCCCCAACTTATCATGATTGTGGTTTACATGTCGATAATCCCCTATGCTTGCCTCGCCAATAAAACCACATGTATTGAAAGTGATTGAAACGTTTACTATCGCAAGAAAGATCTGTCAATACACGTGGTCTTATGGTCCAGACAAGCATCTTATCTGTTTTTTCCGCAAAATATTTTTAATTGTACATATTTGGTTGCACGTTAAGTAGTCCGTCTTCAGCCCCTATGCATGGAAACCTTATTAGAGTCAATATTAGTAGAGACAACTTGGTGCAGATTTGCCTTTTCTGGAGATCCACGTGGTTGATAGCTAGGCAGAGTGGAGGCATTGGAGCGCAGATTGGAGCAGAACTGGGATCTGGAAGTATTAAAAACTGGCGTCAAGTAGGTTGACCCTGTTATTCCCGCGCAACGCTGACGATTATGTCCGGCCCCTCTGAACAAACAATTAGCTACGAACACGTACAATATAAAAATGAAATGTATCAAGTCAGCTAAACAGGCCAAACGCAATGTTACTGAACCATACATGTCAGTGATGACACCTATTTATTTTCAACCTTTTCACAAACTAACCTCATCTTCTTCAAAGTACTGTCCACTACAACTAATATACACTTGTCCCACCGGTGCTTCCACTGCTTGAAACATTTTTTGAAGTCCTCCTTAGAAATGTCTGATAGCTCCTCCTCCGTTTTTTTCTGGACCTCTACAATATCGTCACAGCGGCGTCCTTTTATGCTCCTTTTCCTCCGTGGAAAGGTCTGATTGACAGTGTGACCTGGGGGAACAAGCTCGGAGTGGACTACGCCTTTGACATCAAAAAAACAAATCAGCGTTGCTTTGATGTTTGATTTGACTTGACGACATTTTGTTGGACGGGGTGACGATGGCGTCTTCCATTGACTTGACTGTCGCTTCGTTTCTGGGTCATAACCGTAGCACCAAGTCTCATCCACCAGTGATGGTCTTTGATAGGAAATTTTGATCAGATTCAAACTGTTGTTTCAAAGCACGACATGGTTCAACTCGGTGTTCATTTGATTGTCAGCCAGAGCCCGAGGAACAAACTTGCCAGCAACCCTTTTCATTCCCAAATCTTCTGTTAAAATTCGCTGAAACGAACTCCAAAACAACCCACTACTTACGGGTACTTGATCGATTGTCAGCAAACTACTCGTACACCTGAGTTTTATAGCATCATCTTTGTAAGCTATTTTCAACATTAAAACAGTTTCAGCAGCATTTTTACCAATTAAAAAGCAAAATTTCACAGCTGCACGTTGCTCACTGAAGCTTGTCATCCTAAAAAACGAAACAGCCCCTCTAGCAAAAATAAAGACTACAGAGGAACGAAACAAGCCAGATCGACAACTCAGGTGGCACTGAACTGGCAATGAGTTGCGCTAGGGGCAGAAGCGTGTACTGCACAAGCTCCGCCCACTGCAATGCTATTCCGGTTATTTTTGGGTACCTCCCAATTTTTAACTAAAAAAACTTTTTCTGAAAATGACCCGGAGCCTCTGAAGCGTTTAAAAAACGAAGTTTTAGGTTTTAATTTTTTTCGTTTTTGCCTGTAGCTCCGCCGCCACTGTACATATTTTCAAAAATTACAAAAATTATTCGTTCTTGGTATAGTAGTGACCGCATGTGAAATATTCGATAAAACCAGAACGGTACTTTCCAAATTATAGACGGGCAAAGGATTAGCGGACAGAGCGACAGACTCGCCAGTGGCGTGGGAAGTAAAATTGATCCATATCGAAAATAAACGCTTGCATTGAATAAAATTGGGGGGAGGGAGAATGTACTGATATTTGTGAAAAATAGCTTTCAGACTGTCTTAAAGATTGTTTTGTACGGTTGACAACTTGCTGAACATTTTTAAAGGGTAATCAAACATCTTTGTGGAGAGGTAACAATTTCTAAAAATGTCGAGAATTTGCGTTCACCGTTTAGCCTGACCTATCTCCAATTGAACATGTCTATGACATGATGGGTCGCAGGCTCTTAAATTTCCCACACCTTCCACAGACTTTAGCAGCTCTTACTCAAGAAATTGCAGTAGCCTGGAAAGAGATACCCCAACAGGATATCGACCACCTTATCAGCACGATGCCCAGGCGTGTCAATGAGTGTATAAGAAATCGTGGATCCTCAACACATTATTGAACCAGCTTCTGCAGTCAGTTGACGAATCAAGATGAAAATTTAATCATTTTACTAGTAAACTGAACATATATGCCAAAAATGATTAAAATCGGATAAACATACGTAGGTGTTCACCTTTTTTTGGTGACTCAGTATACAGGGTGTTCCTTAATGAAAAATTAATGTTGGTTTGCTTTATAAACTATGGTTAAAAAATGTTTATTTACAAAAACTCGGGGCGTTGAATCTTTAGGAAAAAAATGGAAATTAATTAATATTTTCAGAACCGCTTCAGATATTTCACTGATATTTAGTACGTAGTGGAAGTTAATAAAATTGCATATTTTTCAATGCAAAAATAATTGTTAGCTTTAACAGTGGCGTGCGTACGGGTATTGACTTCAATATTTTTTAAGAACAAAATGGTACGCCAATGGTTTTCTGCCAAATAAAAATTATTTTTGATTTCCTCGTTCAATTTAAAACAAATGATCTCTCTTGAATTGTTTTCCTTTGCTGGGCCATTTTTGAGTAAAAAAATAATTTGGCATAAAACCATTGGCGTACCATTTTTTTCTTAAAAAATTTCGAAGTCAACACCCGCACGCACGCCACTGTTAAAGCTATCAATTATTTTTGCATTGAAAAATATGCAAGTTTATTAACTTTCACTACGTACTTTATATCAGTGAAATATCTGAAGCGCTTCCTAAAATATTAATTAATTTCCATTTTTTTCCTAAAACTTCAAGACCCCGAGTTTTTGTAAGGAAACATTTTTGGACCATAGTTTATAACATTAATTTTTCATGTAGATTCATACCCTCAAATATTCGCATATTATTAAGGAATACCCTGTATATCGTGTACAAGATTAATAATATAATTATTGATAGAAGTTTTCGCATGCCCTGACATAGACATATATGAGACCAGGCTTAAATTAATCCGATTGATCGCAAAGAAGCATCATTTCCTGATGCATTTAGCATATACACTATAAATTTCATCTCCAAATGAAGAATTTGAAATTACTCGCTCAAAAAGTTGCTACGTTCAGGAAGATATTATGCGGGGGGGGGGGGGCTCCGGACCCCCAGGATGCCCACCTGGATTGGCCTCCCAGTGCACACTTTTGAAATGTATCCTAAGGCAACATGAAGTCCGTCTACTTCAGACTGCTGTAGAAAGAAAACTAATTTTCAGATCAGCTTGAAACTGCGCATGTGTCTAGCAAAGCAATATATTTTGCTGCCAACGCTTTTTGTACGCGAATACAGAAACTTTCCAAATCACCTAGTGTTTTGCATTTATTACCGCCATAAAAATGCTAACATGACTGAATCAAAAGGAAGTATAAAATAGCCACAGCTTCGTATTAACGTCAGTTGTAGCATAAAAGAAAACTGACATTTTTACCCCACGTTGTACCAGTAAAACTCCTCTCACTCCTATATGGAAATAGCATGCTATATAGAGATTCTATCTTGGAACCTGCCTACATTTTTTAATTTAATATTATTAGATGCCTTATCTTTATACATCTGCGGGAAAAGTTTCCGATAGCAGGCAAAATGCAATATAACAAAAAATACATCCGCCAATGCAGGTAACCTATTTTTGAGCAACTTCTGTGAAAGTGCCTTTCTTTTTTACCTCTGACACGTTTCCTACGTTCAAGAATGCTTTCTATAATGCATTGCTTTTCCAAACTTAGCATTTGAACCGGTTAAGTTAGCAAGCTGAAATTCGAGGTGATGGTACTGACGCGTAGGAAGGAAAATTTTCATGGATGGACTGACTATAAAATACTTTAGACAATACAATAGAATCTCGATTATGCGAATCGCGATTATCCGAAATCCGCTTTATGCGAAATAGATCGCATACAATAATTTCTTCGTTTTAACCGAAGTTGTTCGGAAAATCGGCGCATGATCCGAAATAGCCGCCGGTAGTTCCACTTTCGGCGCTTGCGTCATTAGATTCGTTGCCGCTTATTCCCCAAGCGCGTTTGCGGAATTCACTGACATTTGTGCGTGTATGTTTGTTTCAGTCAGGTTCATAATCGCTAAGATGGAGCAGCATAGGAATAAATTGAAAAGTGGCCTGGTGTTCTATGATATAGGGGGAATATCAAAAAGTGGATGATGAACCACATATATAAATCTGTGGTTTACCCAGAATCGAGGACGTGACATACCAATTTCCGGACAAATTCTAAAGCAAAAGGCAGTCAACTTAAGCGCAGTATTGCCAGTTATTGAGGTGCCTGATAACTTTACATCCAGTGATGGTTGCCTGCTTAGTTGTAAAAAACGACACTGTATACGAGAATTCAAAGTTTGCGGAGAAAAGTTATCTGCCGATAAGTCCACTGCATTAAAATTTGGAGAACATTTTAAAGAATTAATGGAGCAGTATGGTTTAAATCCAGAACAAAAGTACAACTGCGACGAAACGAACCTAAACTATAAAATGTTACCGGCGAAAAGTTTATATTCAAAACAAGAATCTGGAGCCAATATACTAAGTGACATATAAATCCGAACACCCAGTTTAAATGGTTTTATTTTAATAAAAGTTGGTGAATGTATTTATCTTACTGTAAATAACAAGTGAAAAAATTTTCAGCCTTATCAGTTGGACATTCCGGTTTTTATACTGCTTTTTTTTTAATTCACTAACGCTCTAAAAATGAATATTTCAGCCGCAGTAAAGAATCAACGTTGGCGGATTTTGGTTCTTGACATCCTTTACGATCGGTTACGATGCCTAGAGTACGGAGACCTGTACGATTTCGTCAACTTAGTGAGTTTGATAGGGGCCGTATAGTGGGACTTCGGGAAGCTGGACTTTCTTTTCGGGCAATTGCAGTTAGAGTGCAAAGAAGTGTAGACACTGTGGTTAGGTGTTGTCACGCATGGCTTCGAGAAGGCCGTACGCAAAGAGCAAGGGGCACTGGACGCCGCCGTAGATCAACAGACCGTGAAGATCGCCGCCTAAGATTATTGGCCTTAAGGGACCGTTTCTCCACTACCAGGTCCATTGCAAATGAATGGTTTGCAGAACACGGAAGACCTATTGGCATGCGAAGTGTTTACCGACGAATGAGAAGTTTTGGCTTGTTTTCATAATGGCCACACTGGGTCCTCCCTTTAACTCGAGAACACCGACGTAATCGCCTTGAGTGGTGCAGACAACGGTCACTCTGAGATCAGGAATGGAACAGTATTGTCTTTAGTGACGAGTCTCGATTTTGTTTAGGCATGCACAATGGTCGTGCCAGGGTTAGAAGGTGACGTGGTGAAAGGAGGAATCCACAGTTTTTTGTTGAAAGACATGTTCATCACACTGTTGGAGTTATGGTTTGGGGTGCTATAGCTTATGGTTCCATGTCACCTTTAATCTTCATCAGAGGTAACATGAACGCGCAGCGTTATATCCACGAAGTTCTAGAACCCCATCTTTTACCCTATCTTGACACCCTGGCAGATCCAACTTCCAACAAGATAATGCCCGACCACATGTTGCAAGAGTCACAATAGACTTCTTTCAACATAATGATGTCACATTGTTACCATGGCCACCAAGATCTCCCGACTTATCCCCAATTGAGCACGTGTGGGATATGATGGGTAGGAGATTGCTCAATTTGCAACGTCCTCCTCAGGAATGGCCTGGAATGAGATACCACAGGAGGACATTGACCACCTGATCAGAAGCATGCCTAGGCGCGTTGGAGAATGCGTAGCACATCAGGGTGCATCCACACATTATTAAAGGTCAAAGGGCTTTAAAGCAGTGCAATCATTTTGAAATGTTTATCATTTACTTATTATGCTTCATTAAGTACTTATACAAAATTTTATTAAAATAAAACCATTTAAACTGGGTGTTCGGATTTATATGTCACTTAGTATAGTTACAAACGCAGTAAAGAACGTGTGACTATCCTTGCTTGTAGCAATGCTTCCGGTATACACAAACTTCCTTTGTTGTTAATCGGAAAATCAGCTAAACCAAGAGCATTTATGAGTGAATTAATGGTGATGAATTGGTGGAAGAATTAACTGATACAGATCTAATAAAAACTGTTTGTAACAATGGCGATGATACTGTTTTAAGGGATGCAAGTTACAATGAGACAGAGATTTTTGCCAAAATATCACATTCTGAGGGATTAGAAGCTCTATAAAAGGCGTTGACTAGGTATATACTCACTTAACACACGCTATTAGTTTTTTCAATAAAAGCAGAGTCTAAATATGTATGTATTTCCGTTTTATCCGAAATTTTGGTTATCCGAAAGCACATTATTTCGGATAATCGGGGTTCTACTGCACTATAAAATAGACATAAGCTTTATTTTGTATTATTCATCATATATCCCATGCTTAAACGGATACACGTTTCCTTTCATCAGTTCAAACAAACTTTTTCATTATTTCTTGAAAATTAAAATCACTAGTTAATTATGCATGGATATGAAGAAGCACGACGTGAGTCAGACGTTATTGTATCATAGTTCTACGAATATGCGCCTTCAAACATCAAAAATCACTGAAAGAGCGTTTTGTTGAAGCAGCCGATGTAGGTACAGTTACCACGATAATAAACAAACTGGTGCACAGTTGCTTTGCAACATGGAAAATTTTTCGGTATTAGGGAGGTTCTTGACCAACTTTTTGAGAACACGTACAAGGTTTGATCGGCATATTTCTTTTATTTATGCATTTATACAGGGTGAGCAAAGGGAGTAATGTTTTTTAACAAAGTTTGGGGCTGTCAGATTCTCAATGTTTCTATGCATTTTTCGATCTTTGGTCTATCCTAAAAAAGTGATATCTTAAATTTTTCGAAAGTTGGATATAACTCTAATTATCGAATTTTTGACTTCCCGCAACAAATGTCTTTCGGCTCGACCTCGTATTTTTTTGGATTACCCTCTCCATGAAAATAGGACGTTTCTTTGGTTTCATCTTAACTACCTACACCTCAAACATGCAATTGCTAGGTAACAACAATATTGACTGCAGACTTGACAGTATAATTTTATTTTCTCAAAAATGGCTCGACTTTTTCAAAATAACGGAGAAGTTTCAGGATAGTTCAAAGATAAAAAAAATGCATAGAAAAATTTCCAAGCTCAAAAATTAAGAATCTGACATAGCCCCAAACTTTCCTAAAAAAACCTGACTCCCTTTGCTCACCCCGTATAAGTAGATAGATGAAAAAATAAAGGTCAAGCCCTGTACGTGTTCTTTAAGAGTTGGTAAAGAATCTCCCGAATACCTCAACTCGATATTTCTATCCCTTCCGAAAATATCAAAATTTGAATTTGGAAAGCGGAAATGTATGAAAAAATTAAACAGCACAAACCTGCGAACATTAGTTACGTGACTGATGAGATGGCCCGTCAATGTGGTGTCACTGTGCTGCGGTTACCGCACTACCACTGTGAACTGAACCCAATAGAGCTCATCTGGGCTCAAGTGAAGGGTTATATTGCGCGCCATAACACAACCTTCAAATTACCAGACGTTAAGGTTTTACTTGAGACTTCCATAGAGCTAGTAACGCCCGAAGCTTGGCAGAACGCTATCCGCCATGTTGTGAAGGAAGAAACAAAAATGTGGCAGCTTGACCACCACATCGACACCATCATAGAGCCAGTTATAGTCAATTTCAACGAGGAAAGCGATAGCGACAGTTTATTACAGTCAGATGTAAGTGGAAGCGACGATGAATAAAGGTAATTCCCAAATTTTTGACTTACAATATGTTTCAAACTACTCTTTATTAAGCATGTGACAAATCTAGTTCACCCATGTTAAACATTCATACCCCTCCTATGAACAGCCGACTACTGGTAGTTAAGTGATGTTCACGTGAACATCGATGAGTCATTACAGTTTTAGATAGTTATAGTATAGCGCTATCTCATAGCTGACTGCAGTCGCTCGGCAACGTTGCCAGATGACCGATACTGTCTGTAATGCAGGGAAGAAATTTCTAAGTCGCAGCATTACCAAATGCGTGGGGACCATGGACTCACTGTATATTTTTTACATTATACATGTTAGTAGCTAAGTTTTTCCCCTGATGGGTCAACTTGTGTTGAACATAATCCTCTATGAACTGATTACAGCGTTGCGTGCAGAGTGATTTTTCAACAAATTCCCGGAGTACCTATTGGACGTCCTTTCACATGGGACCGTCAACGCTTGTGTAGATTTTGATCTAGTATATCCTCTTAAGAGTATCCCTTCCGTTACGGTCTGTAGATTACGGCTGGCTACTTACTGACCTAATTGCCCTGTGAAGACTCCTTGGCCATCTATAACTAGCGTCCCTCTTAGCGTCACTTCGTTGGGAATTACAGTGATTCTCAGGCAGACTGAAAATAAAATAAATCAGCTTCATTTTTATTGGCCAGCTTCGACTTGATCGCGGACGAAGTTTTATTCGTTTCCTTGCTGGTTTCCGTTATAGACCAGGATTTTCAGGATGTCAGAAGAAAATTGCTGAGGCGGATTTTACAATAATACTTTTGAGGGTGAACAAGTCTCTCATCTAGAAATACAACAAACTTTGCTGGATGAAATTCAAACGTCAAATTTAGATAAATCACCTTTTCGCGTATTAAAAAACACCCTCAAGATTGATTTTGAATGCTGTCATGTCTTGACCTATACATTAAAATCAGAGCTGCTGATTTTGGTACAGGGTGGTCGATATGTAACTGACTGGTTTGTATCTTGAATACTTGTGAAATGAAATAAAATACGGCCGAAATTATGTATGAAAAATAATATCAGACAAATGTCCGCCTCTAGAAGCCGCGCAAACCTGAGCTCTATTTTCATATTCCATCACTTTTTGGTAGGTTTCAGGAGGAATATTTTAATGTGCTTCCGTAATATTGTTCTTCAGCTGCTCTACAGTATTTGGTTTGTTGGCATACGCCCTATTTTTCAAAAATTCCCATAAAAAAAGTCAGAGGAGCCATTACATCCGGTGACCTTGGTGGCTAGTTGACGTGATGAGAAATGGAACGGTGTGATTTAGACCTTTTTTGTACATTAGTAGGACGAATCAAGGCTGTGTTTCTAAACAGCACATTGCCTTGATACCATTAGTATTATATACTATATTATATACAGGGTGGCGCATCCAAAACGAAACAGACGCATTAACTGGCAGCTCAGTTTTTTTGGAAAAACGCTCGGACCAGTCGATTTTGTTTTCGAGGGGGACACAAGTTTGGCAAAAAATCACGTTAACATGCGCAGCCCCCTGGGCGGGGGTGACACCAACCCTAAAATCTTAAATGGAAAGTGGGGTCGAGTGACACCTTATTTTAAAGGTCTTTCAATTCTCTCTATAATGATGTAAAATACATGAGCTTCAGTTCAGTAGTTTTGAAGATTTATTGACTTAAAGTGGACTTTAATAGGTACAACATCAGATTAGTTTGTCCCACTTTCAGAAGAAATTTGACTAGAAGAATTTACTTAATAAGTAAATGCTTTTCATCACTACGCCCATGGTTTGTTTATCATTTTGTTGTTGAAAATAGCTATTGGAGCGTTTTTTTGTGGCAAAAAAGTTATTTCTTGAAGGAAGATAAGGAAATATCTCGTACTTATTTGATTTGATTTGACCAAACTTTGTTGCTAAAATAACTTGTAACTTTACTACATAAATAAACCATGATATATTGCACAGCAGAAAGAGTTGAAATTATCGAAATATTTTTTGGAAATAATCTGCGCTAATAGAACAGCAGAAATATTTAATGAGCCACATCAGAACAGTAACGTGCATCGAAAATATGTTCTACAGTATATTCAGATAAGAGATAGACCGGATGTAAACAAAAGGTTCGGGTGATTTTCACGCTAACGCCGCCGTCTCGACGTAAAACAGGAGCCCTCATTGGTCAATTCGCAATTAAATGCCTATGCGGCAGAGCCGTCGTATCAAGGCAGAGTGACATTCAGGTTCAGACGTGTTACGTATGTCGTGTGCATCATTGCAATTTGATATTTCTTTGAACGTATTAAGTTGTTGAGTTTGTCGTTGTTATTGTTATACCTTGTTATTGATTGTTATTGTTATCAACTACTTGCGCAAAATGCCCAGTAGTACAGATACTGCCGATGAAGTTGTAAACTCCTGTAGTCCACCTAGGTAACGTCATTTTGAATATATATAAGATTGAGCGCGAGGAGAACGAGGCATCAACCATCAAAGAAATTGTTGTGAAGGTTTCTCACAAAGTTGGGGTGTGTCGCGCATCAGTGTTTAATGTGTTAAGACAATACAAAAAAAATCACACCTTTTCTGAGCCAATGACCAGTAAACATCACAAAAGTATTGTTAAATCATTGGATGAAGCTGATAAGCATGCGATTAGGAGGAAAATGCATGAATTCTTCTTTAGGAATGAAATACCTACTATAGATAAAGTACTGCAGGAGGTAAATGGAGATACAACGTTGCCAAATTTCAAACGATCAACTTTCCATGCGTTACTGAAGCATTTAAATTTCAAATGGAAAAAACGGGGTCGCAATAGTTTACTACTGGACAGAGAAGAAATTGTGCTATGGAGGAGGGATTATTTAACAAAAATTGGGAAATATAGAAATCAAAACAGGAAGATTTATTACCTTGATGAAACGTGGGTAAACGCAGGACACACTACAAGTAAAGTATGGGTTGATGATTCTGTAACTTCATCCAGGAGGGCCTTTCTAGATGGACTGTCCACCGGATTGAAAAATCCAGCAGGTAAATACGAGTAATAGACAACAATCGGATGTTTTTCAAACCTTGGGAACAAGGTTCTAAACATTAATTCCAGGGGGCAGATAAAACATATTACAAGTAACAAAACTTTTATAACTTTCGATAAAATGCGTGGATGTTTTATTGTCATTTTCATTGGTTAGAACTTTTTTAAGCCATGTTTTTATGTGTTTTCGATATTTCAATAATTTTTTAATATATTCTTAAAATATGTCGAATATTATAAACTTAAAAAAAGTTACTAAGTTTTATATTGTGTATCGTTCCTAATATTTCTAATCATTTTAATTCATACTTTAAGCTTTATAAAGTTATAATTTGTTAATATTAATATTTGCGCGAATTTCAGGTCCCTGATCATTCATTTTTTAAAGGTTTATAACTTTAAATTAAATTGTGAAGCGCTGAGTAATCATACGACGTTCAGTATTCTTTCTTTCAATATGACTAAGTAATCCCAATTATAGCAATCTGATACTCATGTCTCAATGTTTTTTCGCTGAATATGATGAAAACATTTGAAAAAGGTTCGCTTATTGAAATAAATCTACACTAGTTAGTACTTCGATTTCCAGGTAAAGGGAAAAGGCTCATTATCTGCCAGAGGCAGTGAGGATCGATTTGTTGTTGACGGTCTGTGGTGCTTTGAGTCTAAGAAAACTGGAGATTACCACGAGGAAATGAATGGCGAATCGTTTGAACAGTGGTTTTCAAAAATTTTACCGAACTTAGAGGAAAACGCAGTAATTGTGTTGGATAATGCGCCTTATCATTCTCGAAGAATGGAGAAGGTCCCAACAACGGCTTCAAGGAAAGTTGATGTTCAAAATTGGCTCCGCTCGAAAAATATCAACTTTGAAGAAGCAATGCTGAAAGTACAATTATTAAGAATTGTCAAGGATCACAAGGCGGAATATCAAAAATACGCCATTGACGAAATGGCAGCAAGTCAAAATAAAACTGTGCTCCGTTTACCTCCATACCATTGCGAGCTCAATCCCATTGAGCTCATATGGGCAGAGGTTAAAAATTATATAGCTAAGCAATACAACTTTTAAATTTTGTGACCTCAAAGGACTTTTTAAAGAACCGCTAGAATTAATAACAGCGCAAAAATGGGAAAACTGTATTAAGCACGTGAAAGACAAAGTTGAAAAGAGAATGTGGGAACTGGACAATATTTTAGAGGAGCAAGTCGAGCCATTCATTATTGACGTTGGTGCTTCAGGCAGTAGCGATGATGAAAGCTCATCAAGCTCATCTTTCCAATAAAAGATGTCGTTCATCAAATTCGGTAAGTTATAAGTAATTATAAAGCTACTGTATTTTTTAATTAATTATTGACATTTTTGAACCCATTTTGGCAAAACCTATTCAAGAATCTACTTTCTGACAATGTTCAACCATGCATATTTTTTTACGTTTTGAACGTTTTAATTTGGTTACATATTTACCTAGAAATCAAAAAATATACTAATCAATATTCTAAAAGCAATTTTAAGAGATATACGATTATTTTTAATTTAGGCTAATTTAAACGCCCTTTTGAGATTATATTCGACTGTATTTCACCAAACATCAGGCGGCATCCGAAGCTGGAAATCGAAGCGAAAATTTTGAAACCCTTATGTATATTTACATCATTATATATTTCTTACCCCACCCCCACATGATCCTATATCCATCACCAATCGTATACACATCGAATTGTGCTAATTTACTACAAAGTTACGCAAAGCAGCATCTACTATCTAAAATATGTACTGCGTGACTCTTAATACGTCCCTGCCGAATGTTACAGCGTTCGATGATCACGTGGTCTTGTTTATGTCTGGTCTATCTCTTATCTGAATATACTGTAGTTACTGTTGTTCGGCTTAAGAACAATGAGTTTGTTTACTTCTACCTAGGGTTGCAACATTCGAGGATATTTTATTGTGTCCACCTAGGCGGCTGTTGCATGATATAAATCAACCTACGCAGTTCTGATGGAAATATCAGTATCAATAGGATTTTGAAGACTCTCACAGTAAACTAGCATTAAATAGATAGTATGTTATTTCTGCAAGAATGTGCCAATTTCGAATTTCAAACGTTGTTTGTTTATAAGCTAGGTTAGCCTTCACACCACACGGCGCCTGATTTAGATACTGACTCGCATAGTTATAGTACTACAAAATGTTATGCCCTTTGGCATAGGAGGAAAGTGAGGCAGTGTCGAGTTTTCCTATTTTGAGTTTTTTGGTGCTAAATATCTTAGTTATTTTAGTGCTTTCGTATATGTGTTACTAGGAAAACTTGCTTATATGCTCTGTAAAGTCCCAACTCTAAGGAGACCTTGTAGATTTTAGTGTTCTCGTGGAACAACCTAAAATCAAATCAATCGGTTTTTCATCTTTAACGCTTGATCATGAAGCTAACCAGCAAATTTTTTTTATATCTAGCAGAGACACCTTTCCACTTACCCTAAAGAATATAATTTTCAAATAATAAATCTCTTGCACAAGGTCCATGTCTGACTAGTTAGCCTGACCTATTAACAGAATAACTTTGTTGTGCATTCAAAGGACATTTCCAGCGTTTACTGTTCCAACGTTACTCTCAATTTG